ATGAAGTGATAAGAAACAAGTTGTAATGAATGATAATCTAATGCGGAATAAGTGACGTTGAAAGGCATGCCAGTTAATTGAAGCTTAATTTTCCTGAGACAAACCCGAACATTGGAACTTACAAGAACAGTATTGTCGCGTACAAGATATGGAAAATTTTCGTCGTGAAATGGTATCGTTGTCAGCGAAACAAACTGCGGCTCCCATGAGTATTTGATATACCTCAAATTGATCCCTCAGTTAGACATTTTAGGTAATAATGATGGTAAAGCTAGTTATAATGTTGAAATAGTAAGAGGGGCACTAAAATTTTTTCGAGTTTCTAGCATTTATGACTGAGAGCAATCAGAGCTATTCCGATAACATTCAGGATTGTTTTTGGCATTCTCTAGAGCAACACCTTGCTTGCTGCCCCAAAGATTGGAATTCCTGGAATTTTTGAGGCATTTTGAAAGTAATTTCCGGGATCGAACCTTGAATTATATCCCAATAACATCCCGAGAAGACTAAAGTATTGCAAAGAGCAAAGGCAGAATTATTTACAGGACCTCATTTGTTTCTTTTATTATCAGCTGATGAGCGTTACCTCAGATCGAGTTTTCATCTTTCGCCTCTTGAATTTTATTCCTCAAAAGTGAGAGACATAATTTACCGGTCTCAGACGGGAACTATCAACATACGGTATGGTATGGTCGATTTGAGGTCCTGCAGTAGTACTGTTGTGTGCGAACCATTCATCCAGGCCAGCGATTTCATGTGCATCGCCAGCATATAGAGCGTGAAATTGAACAGCCGTACCATTGATATAGCGCTTATGCAGCGAATCTTTGTCTCTTGGTACTCTGTAACAGCAAAGTCCACAATGGGAAATTTTGTGTGGCTCTTTAGCAAACCAAAAGAATAATTAAAGATTTTAAAATGTAATTAGAATTCAAAAGATAAATTTTGTAATTTCAAATCAAAAAATTATGAATCCCGAAGTTAATAAAATAATCAGACGAGCAGGAATGTTCCAGTCTATGAAGTT